GGACCACACAGAGGAGACCTAAATTGCCAGGGCTTACCCAACAGCACTGGCACCAGGAGGAGGAGAGGCACTGCCCTGGAAAAGAGAGAGATGACTCACATCACATCTCATCTTTAAAGAGGCTGCCCTGCTTAGCTGGGGAGGGGCAGGGATAGAAATTGGATGGAGGTTTACTTCTATTTCCAAACACCCCACAGGTTTTCATGTGGCTTTCTGGCTTCCTCTTTTTCAAGCCACCCAAATGGTAGATCCTAGAGAAGCAAGAAGAATATGGTTAAACATGGAACCAGGAATCTTGGATAGGCAACGATTTGCAACTCTTTAAACCAGTATTGTTTAAATATGTGTTTGACTTAGAGAGACCAGGTACTACATGGGGGAAAGCTGAAAAGAAACATATCTGGAGAGCCCTCAGTGTCTTTTACGTCCCTGATCAACTCAGCTCCGGCTACCACCATGTGGAGGAGTAGCAAAGCAAAAATCACCTTTAACATTCACTGTTACCAAAACCTGCCCAATGGATGGCCTCGCACTGTCCCTGCCCCAGCCCACCCTCTTGTCCAAATATTCCTTCCAACCACATGGAATGCAATTCATAAGAAGAGTTCCTGCAAAATCTTCTGTTCTTTCTTGTTCCATCTCCAGTAATACTCAGTGCTCCTTCTCAACTAGGGGAGAGGCCTAGCAACCTCACACCTTAATTCATCTTTGGTTGAACAGCTGGTTATGGGTTCTCAGAGGTCCCACCACTTCACCTCCCCTTGACTGAACTCTGCTCAAGACTCGTCACCCTACATACTTCTTTTCTCTTTAGATTTTGAACTGTCCTGGAAGTAAAAATCCCACCAAACCTTAATAAACCAGGCTGAAGTGGGAGAACAATTAGCTGAGAAAATTTGTACTACAGCAATTTACAAACTCTGGCATATAGTAAATTCACTAATGATTGTTAAAAAAATATTAATGGATGAGCCGCAGGGCATCGGATAAAGATGATCAGCTGCCCCCTACCTGTAAATATAATTAAAGGAACATTCATGCATGATTCAGCTCTATTTTAATCTATTTTCTACATTACAGTTTTTTGAAGTGATTGTTATTTTCACAAGTAACAGTAAGGAGTGGCACTGAATTAGGAAAATGAGACCTTCTGTGCTTTCTCATGTCCACTGGTCTTCTTGGTTTGGCCTTGGGTAAACCCACATGATGCCTCTGAATAAAAAACAACACCCAAGTTTAAAGATGATGGTGGCTACCAAATCCTCCTATCAGCATGAAAACTTGAGAAAAGGGCAGGCTGAACCTTATGCCGCAGTTAGATGAATGAGTAAACCAGCAGCTACCTACATTTCCAAACACCCTTCAGGTCCTCATGTGGTTTTCCATGGGCTCACCAGGCTCATTCTCATGCTAAGTGTAGATCACCTGGAAGGGGCTTTAGGATTGATTCCCCTTAAATGAACCTCAACATCCTTGCGGTGTAAGCATGTAGCGTTCCAGACAAAGATGTTTATGAGGTAGGAAATGCACCATGGGACACCTCACAACCGGTTTTGGATGGAATGAAATGGGATAAATGCAACATGAGCTAGAATTATAAACTGACTTAGACTGTTAATCAAAACTCTCTCAGATGCACACATAAAGAATAATGATAACTGATTTTCATAATTATAACCCAGAGAGACTGCAAATACTGAACTATCTTCTGAATCTTCAAACAAAAATAGTATGTAGTGATTTTAGCTTAGCTGTTTTAATATATTTGAATTCGTTGAAAAAACATTTCACTTATAATATATAATGTCAACATTTTATTAACTGTAATATTTGAGCAACTAGACTATACAAATAAAAGTCTGCATAAGAGAGAATTGATTGATCCCTGATTACCCATATAAGAAAAGAAGGGGAAATTTACAGAACTCCCTCTGCTTATTTCTGGTAGTGAAGAAACTGAGTCACAATTATGTAAGCCTGTTGGAGAGAAGCAAAGGACGGATCATGTTGTCGAGCTAGAACATTTTTATAGCTTTACAGGGCACTTTTTCCAGCTCTCCTTTGGTCCTGACTAAGCATAGGTGAAACAGTAAAGACTTGACTATATTCTATTGATTTACCTACCTCAGATGTTTTTCTGGAACTTCCCCTGAGTATGGCTCTGTCTCCTATTTCCGAACCCAAAAGTCAGAGCGCAATCCAAACAACCTGGCTCAAATAGACAGTCTGGGCCAAGCAGCTTCTCTGACTGGGGAGTCATTGAACTAACACATTGTGTGCAAATCAGACACTTCACAACAAGAACTGAAACTGTAGGCAATGCTTTAGAGAGCAATTGAAAAGTTGTGATGGACCATTTTTTAGTGGGGTTTTGAGGCACTGGAAACTATGAGCAAGCAGACACTCTAGTGGTAGGGTTATAAATTTATTCTAAATGACAACTCCACTGTGAAGAGAAAATGTAGCTTCCTTACTTGATTTATCACTCCTTTAATCTTCATGAGCCCAAATCCACTGGGTAACAAAATGAACAAAGCAAAATAAAACACATTAGTCCATTTCTTGAAGTAAAAATTTTGACATTTCTTTAGGTATTAGTCAATGCTTTCAAATTTTATTTCTTTTCCTTCTCTATTTCAGTATGGCCTGTGAGTCCTTAGAGTAAATGGGGCTTAAGTGACCTTGTGGTGCTGAGGGAAAAGAGGTCTAAAAGCCATTAGATACCCTTTGTTTCCTCTAATCTCCAGTATCATGACCCTTGAACACTTGGTAACAGCTGACCCCGCAGACTCTCACAGTTGCCGGGGGCTGGTGGTATCACCTGTGTTCTGGTCTCCTGCAGCTTGGGTGGCGATTGGTGGCCCTCCCTGGCTCACATGGCCTCAAGCCACTCTTGCTGATGTTAAAAGGCTGTGACTCCCATTCATCTGCTGAAGCATGAAAATACTCTCGCTAAGAAACAGAGCTCCCCAAACTCTCAGTTTCCTTTCTATTAAATCCTGATGGAGCCCCATCAGGAAGTTCGTCTCTTCGGCCACACAGTGTCACCAGATTTACTTTGATGAAGCTGTCCCAGTGAGCTGCAGAGGGCAACATGGAAAGTGACTGCCTTCCAGAGTCTCAGGTGTGGAGTGGGTTAGAATCCTGATGCTATTTAAGTATCCCACATTACCTAGATGTTCCTTAAGCTACCCACTGCCCTTGAGGTTGGCTTTCAGGTAGTGTTAAGATATAAGAGGAAGAGAAAAATGGGTGTCTTTCCTCCACTTCTGCCTCTCTCCTTTCTCTCACAGTCCTTCAGGCTAGAAGGATGAATCTTTCTATCACTTCACCTGGATTATATCGTCCTGCCACCACTATGATGTAGGCATATTAGATGGAAAAGGTGTCATCTCCATACCCTGGGAGGAATTCCGTGATCTGACCCATCCAGGATAGTTCCTGAAATTCTAAAGGGATTCAGAAAATCCTCTCTCTCATCTAAGCCTGGTTTTCAAACCTGTTATTTTCTCATCAGACAAGGGACTTCATGGCTGATCCCCGAGGCAGAAAACAGCAAAGCATACGCGTATGAGTTAAGAGGGAAAATGAAATATATTAGTTTAATATTTTGCAAATGTTATCCTCATTACACTATCAGTAATATAAAATATACATATTAAGGGTGAGGGAGTTGGCCAGACGTGAGAGAACTGAGACACACACACACACACATGGAACAAAATTAAATCTGTGGTTGGTAGAGCATTAAAATAAAACACACAGTCCACTAGATCCTTTTGGGTTACTGAAGACTCCAGTTACTGTCACCTTGAGGCCTCCTTTTGTTATTTTTTGCTAGTTGGTTTAGTTTTTCCTGAGTTTCCATACTTGTGTATAAATCTTTAATTACCTGAATTAACTTGAGTGCCTTTCTGTTCCATAAAGCCAAACTATCTGAACAAGCTTTTAGTTAAAGCATTCATATTTTACAATGTGTGTGTGCACTGTGCACGTGAGTGTCACCAAGTCTCATTCCAGGCTTTCTGTAAATGTCTTTCCAATCCTTCCCTCCACCTTACTCCAGAGCCCAATTGTCACACCCCCAGGTCATGGCCACATTGCCCTGGCTGGCCCGCCTGCCCCCTTGGCTCTCTACGCCTGTTATCCTGCACTTCGTCCCCTTCAGCCTTCCTGAATCTACACCTTCACCCTCCTCTCCTGTTCAGAGACTCAGACATGTTAGACTTCTCCCTCCTTTCTCCCTATCATATTGAGTTAGATTTGCTTCAGTCCAGTTTTTAGGCTCTGCCCTTGTAAACTAGTCTGAGTTCCCTCTATGCTCACCACGCCTGTGCTGTAAGCAAGCTGATATCCAAACTGGCCGGGGAGCAGAAACACTGCTAGCTGTGTCTTCTCTCAAGTTTTCTGCATGTCTGAAATGTTTTTGCCCTTCTCTAGTTTTATTATAATTTAATCCCAACCCATTTTTCCAAGCCCACCTCAAATCCAGTTTATTTTCTGTTTCTTAAAACTGTTAGTTTTTCTGGGCCACACCACACTCCTTTTGAGCTTAATTACATTCCATCTTTGAATAATGGGTAGTACCCACAGCTAACATTTATTGAGCACCTTCGATGGACTAAGTGCTTCATTTGTCCTTCAGTCCATCCTTGTGGGGTAGGCACTATGATACTCACATTTGAAGACGAGGAAACTGAGCTTCCGGGCAGTTCAGAAGACTTCCTGAGGTAATACAGCTGGTAAAGTGATGGAGGCGGGATGAGGGTAAAGATATCAGGTTCCAGAGGCTAAGTTTTCAGTTAATATGGCCTACCGTCCCCAGAGGATTACTCCTTCTAACTTCAAGTGTCTTCATCTTATTAATATAAGCTGGTATATTGGCAGGATCATGGCTTCTGTGCTCTCTGGGTTGTCCTAAACCAGCACATAGTAGACCCTTAAAAGATATTCCTTTTCTCCCTCTGACTGACCTTTCCCACTGAATCATCATTTTGCAGACATGGAGGAACATGGCCTGTGCGGTTGAAGTTTACTCAGGCTCTGCTGTTACGTGCTGCACTTCTCCCCTTTCATCCCATGAATGCTCACAAGCCCCCTGGATAGCTACAGTGCCAACCACCACAGGTACGAGGCATCTGATACCCTCATGGAGGCTCCACTTCTCTCTCTCTGCCCATATGCCTTGCTTGACTTCTGATGTCCCCAGACCCTGGCCACCGCCTGATGCCCTTTTGCAGTGCCAGGGTTTCACAACGTCCCTAAATCCACTTCCCAGGCACACCAATCCCAAAGGAGTGTTACATGAAGAATTGTAGCCTGCAAGAGGCGGTCTCAGGCCAGTTTCCCTGAGGCTGGACTTTTTGAACAGTGTTTAAAGGAGACCCCAAAGATCTCTCATTGAAATGCACAGCGGGCCTGTGATTTGTTTAGAGAGAAGCCAGCTGTCCTAGTGAGAGCAGAGAAATACATGGTTTCCTAACAGATTTTAAACAGAGCTTAGACCTTCAAAGGGGGTTTTCCCATGGAGATTACACTTCCCTCTCCTAAATTAGAAGCTATAAGCATTCACGACTACCTTAAGATGTGGTGAAATGAGGCGCTGAGACTGTCAGCGTTTGGCTTGGGCCTTTGTGGACGGTGCATGGGAGCTTCACAGGTCTAGGACTCGCAGGACAAAGTTCAGCAGGGGCCACTTCATTGTGAGAGGACTTCAGGGTGGAAATCACCAATTTCCTCCAAAGGCCCCCTCCCCACAAACAGTATGGCGCCTCCCTTCCTCCCCAGCCAGCATAGTAGTCACTCCAGAGCACCCGCCGCCCCCCTTTCTCTGCTTCCCCTTCCCATCCACTGTCTTCTTTAGGAGGAAAGGGAGAACAAGAACATACAAAAAGGTCTCCCTAATTCCTGAGCGTGAGCTTCTTGTCATATTAAGGTCTGACGGCAGAAACTGGAAGCAACACAGTCAATGATAACAAGGCATGATCATTTAAGGGTCTTCTGAAAAGGCCTGTTGTTTGTTTAAATTTCTGCCCACAGCTGCCTGTTTAGGAAATCTAACAAAAGCACCATGAAATCCTGTTTGATCGCAGCTGTATTCACTGCTAATCCCACAGGATAGGAACGTGGAGTTTATTTCAAGATGGGGAAAGAGTGGCTTTTGTGATCCTGACAAACATCAGACATTTCCCCTTCCAGACATGTCAGGGGATGTTATGGGTTATGGGAGGTGCTCAGGAAGAGAAGGGGTCGTTTTCTTTTTCTGGCCTGCTTATGTCTTTAATCATCACCTCTTCTTGCCTGCAGAGGACTGAGAAGGAAGAACTCCACAGGCCTGTATGAGTCTGGGCCGCAGGAAAGGAGAGAAGGGCTCCACATAGGAATTCATTCTCTCAGCAAGTGGGGAACTGATTTCTATGCCTGCCCTACCTGGGCCAACTTCAAAGTGGCCTTGAACCTGGCCACTTGCCTGCAGAGAGAAAAGTGAGACAACATTACTTGACCCCCAACTCACCAAAGAAATGAGGATGTACCCTGCTCAAAGAAAATGTGATTCCTGGAAATCCAGATTTATGAAAATAAGATTAAGTCAACGATTAGGTAGGTTTTGTCGTTTTACTTGAAAAACATCAAAGGATGCCTTAAAATAGTATCTCCTATCCAAGGGTATTTGAGATACAATCTGATCCTTAAGAATTTGACCCCAAATCAAATTCTTGGGAATCGGGTCATATACAGTTTTAATGAGAGTAGGGGACTCACTATCTACATCTAGGCAGTTCCAGGGTTGGGTGAGGAAGCAAAAATTCTCAGGACAGAACAAGATTCACTAATTAACTGACCACTTTTACAATTTGTTCTCATTTAATCATAACTTCTCACTTATGCCAGTGTCTATCCAAACCCACGGCATCAAAATCTTTGTTGGACACTCCCAGGTGGTCAATAATACAATGCAAATCAAATGCAAATTGATTGCAATGAAGTGAAATTGCATATCCTGCAAAAGATGCAGGCTTTCATCCAACTTGGATGAAGACACAATCTGAGCTTCAAAAGAGAGTAATTTAAATATCAGAGAATTAAAAAAGGCCCATGAGAGACTGGGTAAAGTCCTTTAATAGTTTTGAAAAAAAATGACCCTTTCAAAAACTGTGCAGCAAGAGTCAAATGTGAAGTGAAGGGGGTCTGAAAACGTTATAAGTCAAGTTAAGCCAAAAAAATCAGCATTTGATTTTTTTTTCTGATTCTAAACATTAGCAAATAGTTAAAATTATTATATAAGATTCTGGTAAATGTAAGAGAAATACTAATTTATTTTATACATTTCATTTTTAGTAATAAAATTCAATCAACACTTTTAACCATTTATTGTGAAATTTAGGCTCTTGTTTTAAGTGATTCTCTTAATTTTTTTAATATCAATTATTCTTGGGCAATGAGGACCACCTGTGATTTTTTATCATTTCATATATATTAATTTATGTAATACTCACAGCCACTCTATTTGTTAGATGGAGTAGCTTTTAGCTTCATTTTACAAGTAAGAAAATTGAGGCCCTGGGTGGGCGATTTGAACAGCACCATCAAGTTAACAAATACTAACTTCAATTATGCAGGCAGTGCAAGTATTCTTACTGTGTAAATAAAAAAATTATCTCTCTAAGAGGTTTAGTGGTTAACCCTTGGCCATATGGCCAGTAATATCAGTCATGTTCAAACCCAGGCCTTCTGACTCCCAGCTCAGGCTTTATCCTACTGCACTACCAGAATTCTTTAGAGATAAAAATAGCAAATTATGGGCCGGCCGACTGGCTCAGTTACTAAGAGCATGAGCTCTAAGTAACAGGGTCACCAGTTCAATTCCCACATGGGCCAGTGAGCTACACCCGAGCTGAACTGCCAACTGAGCTGCCAATAGGTGGCAGGATGGCTCAGCTGGTGAGAGCACGTGCTCCTAACAACAAGGTTGCTGGTTGGACGCCTTCATGGGATGGGGGGCTGTGCCCCCCGCAACTAAGATTGAACACGGCACCTTGAGCTGAGTGGCTGCCAGCTGCTAATGGGTGGCCAGATGGTGACTGGACTTGGAGCTGAGCTAGGTGCGCCCTCCACAACTGAGATTGAAGGACAATAACTTGGCTGTTCCCCTTCCCCAATTCCCCAACACTGTTCTCCTTCCCCAATTCCCCAATAAAATCTTTTTTTTTTTTTTTAGCTGAGCCATCCTGCGACCTGTTGGCAGCTCAGCGGCAGCTCAGCTCGGGCCGGGCATCGAACCACTGTTGCTCAGAGTTCAAACCCTTGAGCGAGCTCTTAACCAACTGAGCTACTCGGACGGCCCTAATAAAATCTTTTTTTAGAAAAAGCAAATTATGTTAGAACCAAGATTTTTGAGCACTTACTGTCTACCAGACACCATCCTAAGTATCTTATGTGTTACTCTCCTCTATTCCTTTCAATAATCCCATAAGACACGTGCTATGCTTTATCTCTATTTTACAAATGAAGGAACTGAGTTTCAGAAAGATTAAGTGAACGGTTCAGTGTCACACAGTGGGTGAATGACACCAGCTTGAATTAGAAGCCATATTTTTCTTTCTGTGTGTTCTTAGTTGACACACGGCTGTGTCCTTTTTCAGGAACAGATCTATTCCACAGAAAGTCAGAACCTTGCCCTTAACCGTTACAATTATGCCCTCAATGCATAATACGTTATATTTTCTGCAGAAAATTGCCTGGAACTCTCTTCCCTCTGCTGGCGAATTGGAAAGAAGAAGGCTGAAAAAATGCAGCGCTGGATAATTCAATTCACAGGGCTGTTTGGAAAGAGGGCTGGCAAATAAGATTCTCCCATGTCAGATGGCAAACTCACATGATTGGCAGAAGCTTCTAAAATGTTACCTAAGGTCCAATCTGGGCTCCGTGGCGAAGAACGGCATGAGGTTTGAACAAAGCTGCCTCTGGAAGGGGGATTAGCCCACACAGGGGCCACATATTTACTACTTTCCCCTGGGGGGTAGGGCCAAGATATGGGCACCTTAAGATTCAATGGACTCATAAAGATATGCTCTCTGGGGGGGATAGGGGGGTGACTGGTTAGCTCAGTTGGTTAGAGTGTGGTGCTGATAACACCAGGTTGCTGGTTCGATCCTAGGATGGACCACTGTGAGCTGGGCCCTCCTTAAAAGAGTCAACTATGCCATTGTAGCATGAAAGCAATGTATAACCAATGACCATGGCTATTCCCCAATAAAATTAAAAAACAAAACAAACAAACAAAAAAGAGTATGCTCCCTAATATTTCATCCCACGGTGAATACACAGGCTGCCTAAGATAACCGGTAGGAGCAGGAGGTGAGCACAAAAGTGTCAAACTCCAAATTCAAGAAAGAAAGGCTGGGCTTTAAACATAGCAACAGGTAACTATCACATCAGGTTTTAAACCCTTATCAATCAATGAATGACCACTTTGAAATGCTAACCATGCTTCTGAAAGCCAGCCAATCAGCAGCAGCTCCCCTTCAGCAAGGCTTTCCACGGCAGCAGGTTAGCCAAATCGCTGGCCACCCCTGCTTCTGAGAGGCCACTAATATCGGAGCGCTATGCTTCTCCAAACCCCACAAAAGAGCAGTCATTTGCTTTCTTCGGAGAAATTGTGGCTTACAAACACGGTTGACTCGTGCTTAGCAAATGATGCTCTCTGCTCTTTGTTTCAGATAGCAAGTGGTGGCTTCTACTTTGTCTGTCCGAGGGAAAAGCCACTGTTGTATCTCTGAAAAGATGAAACACCTCTATCCAACAACTTAATGGAATCACAGAAATCCTTAGAAACACACACATACACACACACACACACTCAACTTTTGCCCTAAAAATGTGTGAGGGGAACCTCTTGCGTTTTCATGTAGCAGGGTTCTGTGGCAGCCTCCATTCTGAGGGAGAGATAATCACCATTAGATTAAAGTATATGTTTAATTCATTTTAGATTGAATGAAATTGGCACTTCAGTCGAATACAAAAGACTATATTCTTCTTCTTTCAGTGGCCCATTTGCCAAAAGTATCACAGTGATTAAACACTATGTGAATGCATACATAGGTAAGATAAAAACAGCATTCAGATAGCGGAAACCTAAACTTACCCAGCACATGGAAGCCCAGCACAGCAAAGCATATGTGGCTCCTATTTTTATTAACAGATTTCTATTTCTGGTTTCTTTTCCCCTTCCTGCTTTGGTATCATTAGATGTATGTACAAAAATCTAGATATTTGTTCAGAAATTGGTACTTTACTACTGATAAGTTGACACAAACAATATAACTACGGCCGTTATAATGTTAAGTGAGTTTTGAACAAATAGGGTTGGAAATCCAATTATCTTTCCATAGAACACTTTTGTGTAGAATCGTGGTTAAATAAAGGAGGGAAGCCAGTGGGAGAGTTAGAATAGCAATTTCTCCTGCCTGCAGTAGGACATTGGAGAATTTCATTCTGCACAAACATTAATCCATTCATAATGGCCTCCCCCCTGTGGTCAGCCCACAAAGATCTCTTCCAGTTACTGGAAGCTTTACTTTGGAAATGGAGCAAAGAGTCGGGAGCATATGGCTTGGGTAAGAAATTCAAAGATGAAACACAGAACGTTGCACTGGGCAAATGGCTTAGAACTCACTCCAGGAAGGAAGCCCCCTCTCCTGACACCTCAGTAGGGCCTTCAGAGCTTACCAGAGGTGACAGAAAACATAAATACTTGGCCATGGTTCCAATTTGACTGGCCTTTGGTCAGTGCCTCTCAAACTTTCATAAGTACACGAATCACTTTGGTATATGGTTGATGCAGGTTCTGATTAATAAGTTTGGAATCGGAGATGCTGAATTTCCAAAAAAATTGCCAGTGATGCCCATGCTGTTAGTCCATGCACTTTGAGTAGCAAAAATCTAAATTAACCTAAGTCTCAGCTAAGACAGAGTCTTCCAATTGACTCTCAGCAATGGCCATTAAAATTATAGTCAAGAGGAAGCTTAAGAGATCTGCTGGTCTTTGAAAATGTCTAGTCGTGTGACGTTGGGCAAGTTATTTATTCTCTCTGTGCCTTGTTTTTAGAAAAGATTGGTTATGAGGATTAAGTAAAATAATGCTTACTATAGTGCCTGATAGCCTTTGCTTTTTAAATGCTAGCTGCAACCATCTGGCTTCATGCCTTCTTCATTTTGCAAATCTAGAGATAAGTCATTCTGAGGTGAAGGACCGTACTGAACGTGACACAACTTGCTAATGCCAGAGGTCAAGCAGAAGCACTGCCTCCTGGCTTCTAGGCAAAAGCCCTTTCTGCCATTTCCTTAGAGCCGATTGCTAACTGAGACAGCTGGCCCCATTGTGCACTCAGCTCCCTTCCTTGTCCTAGCCTCAGACACCACAGAGCAACTGGGGCTTCATCCACATGCCCAAATATTTTTGCTATAGCTAATCCTGATAGCTTAAGTCTTCTGCTGTTAATTATGAAGATTGCCCAGATAACTGATTTAATTGGGAACAGAGCGTATCTCCGTGCAACCAGCCAACATGGATTAGATCTCCTCAGTGCAGTATGCAGGCCTGTGGCTCTCAAGGGAAGGTATTTCCTCCCTGGGGAAAATCATGGATGCCCCAATGGAACCTATGGTATAGACTATGCATGGGTGACCTGGTCCCCAGGGATCAAGTTAAAACTAATCTAAGTATTGGGCACATACAGCTCTGTCTTCTTCCCTGCCATCTATAGAAACCCGCAATAGAATGTTTAATGCCCACACTTGACAGTGATGTCTTTGGGGAGGTCAGAAAGCAGAGAGTAAAAAATTCTCTCCCAGTGTGGTTTTGCAGTTGGGCATTAGCCAAAGGCTGTTACAGCTCAGTGGTGAATAGTAGCATAAACTCTTTCCTTTCTCTGTAGTGAAAGGAACAAAATGAATTCTTTCTACAGCAGTACTGAGATATGAATAACTGAACTGGAAAAAATATTAGCTGCCTGTCTAGTGTTGCTGCATAATACAAAATATACCATTCCAGCATCTGCCCAGTGAAAAATTACAAGCACACTAGCAGATGCACGTTACAAAGTATCATGACTTTGGTTATCCCCATTATTGGTGCAATCAAAATGGGGTTATCAATCCAGTTCTTTGAAATCAATGATCTTGGTATCCACTTATCCTAAAGACACAACCCTTTTAACAAATCAGCCTCACATCATTTTAACGTCTGTGGAATATTTTTTCTGTTTCTACGTGTATTGAAGCCACATTGAAAATCTGGTAGATAGAAAGCCCCAGAAAGAAAAACCACCTGAACAAGATACAGAAAACTAGTGTTATTGATGGAAATACTGAAAGATGTGTTTCTGGCATCTTCAAATTAGGGAAACTAAAAATAAGATGATTCTGGGAGTTGGTGATGGGATATACAGCCTTTATCTTTTAAGTGATTGTTGACATTCTAATCAGAGCTGAGACGGAAAAGTAACAGAACAGAAATACTTCTATCTACTGTGGACACAGTATTGAATGTTTCTTTCAAAGGCCCCATGAACCTGCCACCACCAATCAAACCTACCTAAGATGTTACCTTATATGCTTTGGCAATGTTCATTATTTGATGGGGTCAAATAATTTCTTATCCCCTATTATGGGTTGGACTGTGTCTTCCCCCCCCCCCAACACACACACACAAATATGTCAAAATTCCAATCCCCAGTGCCTCAGAATATAACCTTATTTGGAAAAAGGGTTGTTGCAGATGTAATAGGGTTATAAGATGAGGTCATACAGGAGTAGTGTGGGCCCCTAATCCAATATTACTGGTGTACTTATAAAAAGATAGCCATGTGAAGATAGACACAGATAGAGAACACCATGTGAAAATGGAGGTAGAGACTGGAGAGATGTATTTACAAGTCAAAGAACGTCAGAGATTGCCAGCCGTCAATCCCTGAATGTCACTAGAAGCTGGGAGAGAGGCAGTGAACACAGCCCTCAGGCGGAACCAACCCTCCCCACACCTCGATTTTAGATTTTCAGCCTTCAGAACTATACAATGATAAATTTCTACTATTTTGAGCCACCCAGTTTGTGGTACTCTATTATAATAGCTCTAGGAAATGAATATACCCCCCCCCTTATTAGGATTGTTACATTTCTATCCTCTATGTCAAATTAGACCCTGGTTGGCCCTGCAATAAGAATGAATCTAAGATTCCAGAAAATACATGAGCTTGAAGATAGGAAACTTTCTCAGCTCAGCGCAGTCTTTGCACTGAGCTAGTGTTTTGTTGGCGATATCACCTATTTTTAAAGAACATACAGCTGACCTTGGGTCTCCTTGACTGTCTGGGACCTATAAGTTAAAAGCAAAACACATTTGGAAATGTGTAATTTTGACTGTACCCTTTTCAACTCATCACCATTCTTTGATTCATTCAATGAATATTTATCTTCTGTCCACAGGGACAGGAAAATGACGTACTGAGTACTTAGAAGTAACTGGTCTTATCTTCATTCACCTTTCCATAAACATTTATATTCACAGCATCAGTGTCAGAATCTATAGTTGATTGATTTTGAAGTCCTGTGTTTCTCTGAGCCTTACACCAGCTTATGAACAGATAAGAGCGAGCAGAATTTCTGCTCAGGGTCTTAACATAAACTTGCAGGACTGGTTATAGTTTATGCCAGAAAATAGCTTTCATCTTGCATGACACACAGCGAGCCAACACTAATGGATTGGTAATGAGTTCCAAGGCCAAGGGCTTTGTATTGAGGTCACTTATAAGGCAGCCCCTGGACTCAGCAAGAGTTTGTGATATCTCTACTTCCCATATGGGAGCAGAGCAGTGGTGACTGGGCTGAATATTTGCATCCCAGGCTCAAGTGGAAAGACTTTGTTAGACCCGGAAGAAGAAAACTGCAAAACACAAAATATAACTTTAATAACAGAATGTGTGACATCATGAATCTTGGAGAATGGCTCAAGAAACTCAGCAAGTACTTTCCCTAGCCCTTCTCTAATGATAACATATCTACTATCTCAGATGAAAGAAGCGAAGCTGGTGTTTGGCTTTTTTTCATGATCACTTTTACTTTCCAAGCTTGTGAGCCTGG